CATTTTCACGTCAACTGACATTTTGGAATGTAGAAAATTGACAAAAGGGCGTGATGCAGGGGAACACTAATTTTGACTCACCGTCATATTGACGTTGTCTTGCCTTCCAAAGCCCTATCACACACAATGACATACATTTTACAGTTCTTCCACTCCTCTACAACGTCTGTGATGAATACGGTTGTGAATCACACTTCTGTGGGATACGAGCAACTTCACCTTTGGCACACAATTTGAAACTCAAAGGATAAGTTTCGTGCAATTGAGGTTGATTACTTGGTAAGACTGTCCCATTTTACTTCATTTTATTTCACCCGACTAACAGTTTATTTGTAGTCGCTCCTATTCCACTTGCTGCAGCCTTAACATCAGTCTTCATCAGTGAGGATTTGCTTTGAGTGGGTGTGTTTGGCACCTCCACAGGAGGTTCATGTGGGTGGGCACATTTCTACGCGCCGGTCACAGGAAGGAGGTCTCCGTTTTTGACCTCCCGCCTTCCCTCTACGAAGTGCACTTAAAACAATGAGCTGTCAAACTTCACTTCTGAGGGATTAAAAAGTTTTACAATCTTCTCCTTTGCGAATCCGATTGCGTGCAACCTTCACTTGCATTTCTGTGTCTGCATGCACTGTCAAAGTGTGCCGAAGTCGTGACAGATTTTACATTCAAACACCTTTTTGTGCCCACATTGTCATTTCTGCAGACAGACGAACTTTTGGCTCATTTCTGTACTCGAGTTTCCCTTTCAACGAGCCCTCTTGTCGAATAAGAGGGCAACACAAATGTACTCCCATTTCTAAGTTTTTCCCTCTTTTGTTTTTTTGTTTGCAAATTTGCAGTCCTCATTGCTCCTCCTGGTGACGTCTGAGGGCAGCGCCTCGGTGGTATTTGTTATTCGGCAATTTTTTAAACTCCTTTCCAAGGCGTCGTTTGCAGTACTAAAGTCGAGCTTTATCAACTGCTGCTTTTTATTTGCTTCTAAGGCTTCTTATGTCCCCCTTTGCATAGGTCAAGTTGCTCGAGAACTGAAACATCGTCTCTTCGTATGGCATCGCAGTTGAGTGTGTTGGTATTCCGCCTCTTCGATGGGGCTGTTTTACTCTTTCACTTTGTGTCCTTACACACCACATCAGTCCATTCTTTTCTTTGTGCCTTTGCATTGCCCTTCATCGCCTTTTCCTGCACCGCAATCACCTCACAGAACCGTCATTATTGCCTCGCCTAGGCCTTTATTCCTCCCTTGGGATGCAGCAATAATGCCTCTGTTCTCCTTTGTATCCTGACAGATTAAACTGTTGCAAGGCCTCACCGCCTCCCTCAATAGCGACGGTGTACTCGAGGTGAGGGGCGCTACGCCGACGACTGACACCTCTTCTTCCTCCCAAAGACAGTCGTTTTTTCCCACTGTCATTGCTACCACCTCTTGTAACACCTCGCCTCCGCTGCCACCTCGACGTCCACTTCCACTGTCCTCTCACCCTCGACTACACAATCTTCCTCATCTGTCCAATTCACAAACCGCATTGGCTGAGGAGAATGCAAAGTTACGGCTTATGGTAAAGTGTACCTCTTCTTTCTTTTTCTTTTTTTTATCACATTGCTCTCCCACTTCCATAAAGCGACTAACACAAACTCGTCTAGCAAATCTATGACTCTTACAACAGTCCATTTTGCGAGCCTCTTGTTGTGTGTGTTGAAGCAATTGTCCCGGAGGCCTCGAGTCTACTAAACAACCCACAACTTAACTGTCCTTTATGAGCTGCGAGGGGAAAGGGGCGAGTAGTTTCCCATTTAAAACTTCCGTTCTGAAATTACGTTCTCAACAAAGTGGCAATAACCACTGACTGAGCGTTTTCTTTCTTTTTTTTTTTGTTCACAGTTTTAGCAATGTGTTTGGTAAAGCCTGTCTCTAGGCTGGGATCTCTAGTGGATAATGTGGAGGCTGCGTTTGTTATCACAAAAGTGATTTGGACGATGCCTTACCCGTCAATGACATGTTGATGCGGCCTGTTGTGTGGCTGCATTGAGAACTGCCTTTCTGGTACATCCCTTTTTTTTTCACCATCAAACACATGGCAAATGTGGGAGAAGAATCCACACGTAAATTATTGGTGTTGTGTTAATGAGGTGGCTTCAGGGGTGAATCTTGGCATTTGGCAGTCCTTTTTTACACACGTGTTGGTTATGGCTGGTAGGCAACGCGAACAAACGTGTTGGAACTTCTAACTTTGCCGTAAACAGGGGAATTAGGGCTAGAGGTGTTGAAGAATGCTGAAATATTTATGTAGACTGATTCCGAGTCTATTTGTTGAATCGCCCACTTCTAAGGTCACAATTTCTCGAGGATGTGAATGTCTGGGGTTGGTAAAACCTAGTCCTCAAAGTGAATGTCTGAGTTCAGGTGGTGGAGGAATGGAGGGTGATTGCAACAAAGTGAAGGAGACGCTTTTCACCCCAACCATGGAGGACAATTTCTCCACAACATTAAACACCACAAGTAGAAGTTGGAGTGAACAAATTTGCGCGACGTGCGCCTACAAACCGGAGACACTGTCCAACTCGTGCACTTCACTCCACCTGCAAAGCCATCAAGAAGCAGCATTTAGGCGAAAACTGCCTCCCCATCGAGTTGGAGGAGGGGACACGAGTGAGGTTGAATCGCCAAAGCACACCACCACCACCAACCTCACCTCGTGAGTGTTTCCCATAGACATGATGGCAGACACAATCCCTCCTCACGGTAGGTCGCCTCCACCATCCAAATTCCACCCACGTCCACACAACTCAACACGATGGTGTGCATTGACATCGACTGTGTCACAACCAGTTACAACTACATTGAAAGGGGTGAGAAGATGGTAGCACCCACCCTCACTCAACACAGTGCCCCACGCGACGTCCCACCTCCTCGCACCTCCTCACAACTTTACCACAATCACATCTGCGCTTCACCTTGGACAAGACCTGAGCACTGTGCGAAGGCGGGAGGGAGGGAGGGAGGACAAGGGGGAGAGATGGACATAGTGGGGGAAGGGAGAGGAAATGGGGGTGCCTGTGACCCTCCCTCGCCCCACCGCCTGTCTCCACCCAACACTCCCCACAATTCGAATGGTGAACGTCATCGCGTGAAAATGATAAAGTGTCTATTCAACAAACGGAAATGGATGGAGCTAACATCCCCTTTTTTCCCTCTCAAATGCACAACTCATGAAAGCCCACGTCACATTCCACTGGGTTGTACTCATTGAAGGTTCCGTCTGCAATTACTTTGCTATCGCCATAATACACTCCACTTGGTCTTGTCACCTGTTCTTCTATTGCCACATTAATACAATTTTATGTATTCTGTATTGCAGCTTAGGCAATGTTGTGCTTCCGGTTTCACTGCATTTTTGTTTTGTTTTGTTTTCCATGACTATGTACATCACCTCGTGGTTACGTCAAACGTTGCTCGTGATGTGACCATCGCACCTCCAAGCCTACATTTTCAAGTACAGCCTATGCACGTAAAGTACACTCACTTAGCTGCTGCGCCTTTTTGTTCCAAGTTTGGCGCCCCAGCGTCGGACACACCACTGAGACCGTGTTGGCACAATCACTGCAACGTCGCTCTACTCACATCACAAAATTTTCAGGCTTGACAAATTGTCGTTCCTTTTTTTAAGTGTTTATTCAAACTTCAGCAAACACTCATCTTTGGGCTTTCTTTTTGCTTCAGGTGGAACGACTGAATGCACAAGTCCTAGCACTCACTATGGACTTGACAAAGTTGAAAACCAAATACCCCAGCTAAGGGAGCTGAGGAAATTGGATGCGGCTATATGACAAAACTCTCTTCTCCCTCCACTCAATTATGATGAATTTTTCTAGCTTTTATTTTTTGCCCTTTGAAATCTATTTTTTTTGCCTTTAAATGAGTAATTGAAATAGCCTCAACCCCTTGCGAACCGTAAACGGATAGAGGGGAAAGAAGAGCTGACACTGAAACCTATTTTCTTTGTTTCACAAGAGGAAAGTAAAATACGGAAAGGAATTAAATCATTCATGGGATTGAGGTACACTGGGTGTGAAGGTCGCGGTGTGGATCATTGTCTCAAGGCTTGTATGTGGGCATAGTACAGGAGGTGATGCAAGGCCGCTGCCCAATTCACCGCCTGTAAATGAATGAAGTATACGACACCACCGATGAAAGAAAAGCGTAACATCATATTCTCTTTACGCATGCAGTTTGATTATCACTTAGCCAAACGCCATGCAACAAGAACGTCAAGGCGATTCAATAGTGATGCTTCTTACATAAACCAACTCACAACAATTAAGCAGTCTAGAGTAGAAAAAGAGGATCAGAGTTTCGAGCCTGAGCTTAGCGCCAAAAGAACAAGTGATGAGATTCATGTCCTAGGACAGTCAAAGGAGTTCATGTGGTTAGGCAATAATGGAGTTACGAAAGTACCTCAATTAATGGGCCAATCGACAATATGCCCCACACCTTATTTCAGCAAAATAAGCACGAACCCACTTTAAAAGCCAGCGACAAATTTGGCACTAGGCACCCCTTCCCACTCCTAAGTTTTCAATTTTCAAGTTAATTTTGGACATGGTGAGGCAGTATCACCTTTTCATCACTGTAAAGTGATGTGAAGAGTAAGTTCTTGTGTGGCATCATCATTCCTTAGGCCGATTTTCATGCGGGTGTCGTCTAGTCCGACAGGCGGGTAGTAAATGGATCTGTTCAGTCTCCGTCACGTAATAAGAAAGTGTGCCTGCAGCTGTCTGCATGCAAGCACAGACCCATGAAGCGATGGTGAACCTGCATTGACATAATCTCCGACGTTAAAACTTGCAGTCCCTGTTCGTTACAACTCAGTCGGTCGGCAGAAAATCATATTAGAGTGATA